TATTTGTTTCTCAGAAGCATCTAGTCCATCAAAACTCAACTTCAGTGTCTCATGAATCTTATCAATTGATCCTTTGTCTAGTCTATTTAAAGCACTTTCCCACACACTTAGTTGCCTTCCATGGAAAAATGAACCTAAAACTTTTAGGGCTAGAGGAAGGCTGCTAGCATAGCATATTGCACGATCTGAGAACTCCTCATACCCTTCAGGAGGGCTACTTTTCCGAAAAGCATGCCAACAGAAAAGCTCAGCAGCGTCACTCTTACTTAAAAAATCAGGCCTGTAGATGACATTTGCATCTGATAGAAGATGCTCGTCTCTAGTGGTTATAATGATTCTACTTCCAGGGCCAAACCACTCATGTGTTCCGGCTAGGAACTCTAACTGCTTATCATTATCCACGTCATCAAGAACTAGAAGAACCTTTTTATGGCAAAATCGTTCACGTATCATGTTGGCTCCATACTCAGGATCCACAGTCGGATAACCAACACTCACTTTACCAAAAGGAGCCATTTGCTTTAAAATTTCTCTTAAAATCTTTTGTTGTAAGGCACATACATCTTTTTTACTATAACTATTTTCTCTAACATCGTTAACAAAGCTATAACCCTCAAAATTATGCTTAATTCTTCGGAATAAAGCTTGAGCAACAGTTGTCTTACCAATTCCTCCCATTCCCAATATCCCTACCATGTGGACCTTTTCTGTCGCATCCATATCCAATAATGGATATAATTCATCTATCCGAGACTCGATACCAAATAGATGTTTCTCCAAATCACGAGGTTGTATGCTGTCTGATATCTTTGCAACAATGTCCTTGAGAATGGCAGATTCGCCCCTACATATTTGCCCATTTTAAGCAAGTTAACCGACTAGTTTGGGGATGTCAAATAGTAAATGGATACAATTATAATTTATAAGGTTATCAAGGTAAATGCCGAAAATCCATAATACAGAAAGATAGAACTGTAAATAGATGAAACCGCAATTCAATTGGTTGATCTATGGGGGTGTTTGGGAATAGCTTTTCAAAACAGCTTATTAGCTTATTGGCTTTTTAAAAAGCTAATAAGTAAAAAAAAAAAAATAGTGTTTGGCAAAGTCAAATGCACTTTTCAGAATAGCGATTCCATTCACTTCAAAAAAACAATTTTAAAAAAGCATGTAAAACTTGGTTTTTTGAAAGTGTTTTTAGCTTTTTAACCAAAATAACTTCAAAAAACACTTTTTAAGTCAAACACTTTTTACTTATCGGCTTTTTAGGAGATGTTTGGGATAATTTTTTAAGGTTAAAAGTTCATTTTGTAAAATGATTTTTTGACTAGTGACTTTTTCCAAAAGAAAATTTTAAAAATGTGTTTGTATTTGCTTTTAGGGTAAAAGCCAACTTTTCAGTTAAAATGTCCGAAAAGTTACAAAAAGATAGGATTTGTGACTTTTGAAAAACCAACTTTTTATTCCGCACAAAAAGTTATTTTAAAATATGTTTTTCCTTAGCCAAACATCTTTTGGCCATTTTTTAACTTTTTGGAAAAGTTAAAAGTCAAAAGTTATTTTAAAAACAATCTTAAACATCCCTTTAACCATAAAAGGTAATCCAAACACTTTTTAAATTTTTTTTTTTACCATCACTATAAGCCAATAAGCACTTTTATTTATCTAAAAGTGCTTTTAGAGTTCAAAAAAGACACCCCATAAATTTAGCACATAATACAATGAGATAACATATGGTTATGCACAAAATCTCTATCATTGGCAACAAAATAACTTGGTAGAATGATAGAAATTACGCTCATAAGTGCCTGTAAGTAATTGAAGCAACAGATCCAGAAAAACTAACCCATTCCCTGTTTCCTTGATATGCCACCCAGACAAACCTGCAGCTGCAGCTAAAGCTTTCCTCCAGTTTTTCACTTTCTCTATCTCTCCCTTAAACTTGTCCTCGTGCTCCTGAAAGGCGGTATCGAAGTCATTTTTCTGTCCACGCACATCGGATGGATCTGTGTGATAGAACACCGGTAAAACCATCTGTCCCATCTGATCTTGGCATTCCATGATTTTGACAAGCTCATCCAAACACCATGAGGAGTCCGCATAATTTTTAGAGAAAACAACCACTGCAAATTTTGATTCTTCAATGGCTTTCAGCAGCTCCCGGGAGATCGGTTTCCCTTTATCGAGCGCCTTATCATCTTTAAACACAGATATTCCTCTTTGACTTAGAGCCGTATAAAGATGATCTACAAAATTATTGCGCGTGTCTTCGCCTCTAAAGCTTAGGAACACTTCATGTGTCCATCTTCCAGTTGGTACAGAAGATGACGAAGATGGAGACGACTTGAAAGGCTCCATCAAAGGATTCAAGAAATTCGAACAATATACATACTTTAATTTTTAATGGGCATCCTCAACTCTGTTGCACATCTGGCTTCGTTTTTGTCTTTGACTCGGTACACATCTTCTTTTGTTGGTTTAAATACCCAAAAACCGCACACGGATTAAAAATAAAAATATAATATAAAATTATAAACATTAAATATTTTATTAAAATCATACTTTTAAATATATGCATAGATCAATAAATTAAATATTTCAATATAGGACATTATTATATCTATTCTAAAGATAAATGTCGGTGGCCATTTCTTTTAGTTTTCGTTTCATTTTTTTCTACTTTTTATTTTAAACTTTTATCTTCTATGTTTTTATTGCTATTAACCATTATTTTATAAATTGACATTTTACCCCCTCCCTTTTACTTTTTTACTTTTTCCAATATAAACCTTTTTCTTCTATGTTTTATTGCTATTAACCCTATTCTATAAAATGACATTTTACACCCCTTTACTTTTTAAAATATCATTTTTACCCTTCGATTTTGCACTTTTTATATCTTTCGCCCTTCATTTTCTAAGTTTCCATGTTCATTTTCGATAGTATATATAATGAATATTTTAAAAACCGGTTTTTTAGTTGAACCGGTATGGTGACCGGTTTCCGGTTCAACCGCTGAGTCAACCGGTTTCTATATTTTTCATGTTTTTTCCTATTTTCCTATACATACATATATATATAAATCATGAATTTGATGTTTACATATTTAAACATTAAAAATACATATAAGAAAAAGTTGTAGATGAATCCAAATAAATTAGAATAACACATAATCATAAGTTTTAGTGTTTTACATCAATCCATATACGTCAAAAAAGAAAATAAAGTATAATAACGTAATAAAATATAGTTTTAGATGAATACAAACACATCAAAAAAATTTATAACATTTACCATATGTTTTTATTTAGAGAAAACTAAATTGATATGAAAAAAAAATACCAAAGTTTATTATGTAAATTGTTCTTTTTCATGTGTTTTTATTCGGTTTAACCGGTTTATTTTGACCGGTTCAACCGGTTTTTTTTTAAAACCGGCCGGTTCAATCTGATTCAGAAATCAATGTAAAACCAGTGATAGTTGAACCGCTCCTTCCCCCGGTTCCTGGTCCAACCGGTTCGACTGGCCGGTTCAAACCGGTTTTTAAAACATTGTATACAATATGATTTTCCTATAATTACCACCCTTCAACTTTATAAAATGTCATTTTGACCCATTTAGCTTTAAACATTGTAAAATGTGTCTTCACGCATTCAGCTTTAAACTTTGAAAAATCGCTTTGACCCCTTCGGCTTTGAACTTTTGTATAATTTGATTTTCATTATTAACTTGTTATGTATGAGTTCGGTTTCATTCGACGGTATAAACCGGAGTTATTCAGTGGCACCCACCTTCTATATTAATCTACCAACAGATGCAACATTGTCTTACTTTTATCGATACAATCGTCAAGGCCTAACTTAAACCTGTTACTTCCGCCGCAACGTGCGGCGGGTAAAATCCTAATTTTTATATAAAAATTTTAATTTTACATAAATACAAACGAAATAATTAATGATTAGGCAATTGAATCTATACTAATAAAACAAATTATTAAAGTATTTAAATAATGTTGAAGTTGATAAAAATGACAAAGAAGGTGACGTGTAACGTCCCAAATTTCCAGAATGAAATTATAAATTTTCAAATAGAATAAACAACCATTTTTGTAAACATATCCAAGTTAAAACCATTTGTTCAAAGACCAAATTTCCAAATCAAGTTATAAGGGAAAACAACACAGAACCTCGAATTATAAAACTGTTGATGTACGTATGTACAGTCCCGTCTTCGTCATTCGATAAGTACTTGAAAAACTTTTAATCCACAACTGTAAGTCAAAGCTTAGTGAGTTCACCCAAAATATCACACAACAATACACATATAATGCATGCACACATGAGCCTTTAGTATGCCTGGGTCGCCTCGCGAGGCCTACAGGATGCATGGACCGCTCTACTGAGCCTATAGTTTATTCGACCGCCTCGCAAGGCCTGCAATAGTTGGATCGTTTCCTTGGGCCTACAGTCTGACTGGACCGCCTCGCAAGGCCTACAATACACTGGACAACCTGGTTATCTTGGCCTATAACACAAAGCAGGACTACCTCAGTGTAACGTTTGGTCCATGTATTATTCAGTTCTCAACATTTTTAGGGTTTTGGGCTGGAACTCGACGAGTTGGGGAGCTCCTACTTGTCGTGTAGAGATCTATTTGGACACGGATTAAGGACTGAACTCGACGAGTTGGGAAGCCCCAACTCGACGAGTAGACGCCGGAAAGGAAAACCCTAATTTTTAGGGTTTGCACCCTATTTAAAGGCCTTAAGCCTCATTGTTAGCCTCCCTTATCGCCCCCTTTGTCCAGAGAAACCCTAGTTCGTGTTTTTCCTACCATTTTGAGTGTGTGAGAGCTTAAAGAGTGAATTTTTGGTGTTTGTGTGAAGAGGCTTGAAGTAGGAGGTGCATAGCTGAAGGGAGAGGTTGTAGATCCAGTGTCTTCTCTGTTGTGGCAGCCATATTGAGGTAGAAAGTTGATACCTTGGTCATTTATTTGCTAGATCTCTTCATGTGGGAGTTTATGGTCATTATTAGCTTATTTTGGGATCATTCTTGGATTTGAGCATGTCATGAAGCTATGACTTCAGATCTGGACATCTCATGGCCTCTTTTGAGTTAAAGTTGTCATCTTTATCAAGTCTTGGCCCTCCTTCATGCCCTAAATCCCTTAATAAGATATAATTGAGTGTTTTAGCCCCCTTAATGCCATGCATGGATGTAAAGTCAACAACTTTACGTGGTATCTCAGCCCTAGGGGATCAGATCTATAGTTTATAGCTTTAGACCCGCTTAGAAAGTGGTTGAATGAGTTAAGACTGGGCAAACTCGACGAGTTGCCTTTCCAATTCGTCGAGTTGGCCCGGGGTTTCACCGATCTTCTGGACACTAGTTGAACTCGACGAGTTGCTGCGATAACTCGACGAGTTGACTAGGTTTTTCCCTAGTTATGTGAGAACTGAAGGAAGTCAACGAGTCGGTAGGTACACCCGACGAGTTGGGTCAACATGGACTGTTGACCTTGACTGTTGACTTTGAATTTGACCATGGTTAACCAAGTTTGAATTTAAGGGTATCTTTGGTATTTTGGGATTTTGATGAAGTTAGTCGCATGGTGGTTGTAGGCAGTTGAGTTCGGAGCAGTGAGTTGGGATTTGATCTTACGAGTTCAGTATTCATTGAGAGGTGAGTCTCATCACCATACCAATGGGTCGAAGGCACCAAGGCCGGCCCATTTTGTGATATGTGGTATACTAGTTGGTTATGTGCTATGTGGTATGCTAGTTGTCTCTGTGATACTTGCATGAAAGACCATGGGGGGAGCCCATGGCACTTAAACATCAGACCATGTAGGGGAGCCAATGGCATTCCATGTAAAGACCATGGGGGAGCCCATAACACTTGGATATTAGACCATGTGGGGGAGCCCATGACATTCCAGGTAAAGACCATGGGGGAGCCCATGACACTTGGATATCAGACCATGTGGGGGAGCCCACGACATTCCAGGTAAAGACCATGGGGGAGCCCATGACACATAGGTGTAAGACCCTGGGGGAGCCCACGGCATCCTGGAGTAAGACCCTCGGGGGAGCCTACTGCATCCCTATATGTTATATGCATGGATTATGTGATTTATATGGATTATGTGATTGATATGGATTATGTGATTGATATAGATAATGTGATTATGTTGATTATGTGGGGTATGCTCTGGGGAACTCACTAAGCATTAGCTTACAATTTGTTGATTGTTTCAGGTACTTCAGGATATAAGGGCAAGAGCCCGACGTGATGATGCAGCATGCACTCTCTGGCATTTTAATTGGGACACTCTGATATTATGAATAATTTATTTGATGCTGTGGATTTTGAAAACAAATGTGATTGGAATTTTATATTTATGGAAATGATTTTGTTATTTAATATGAAAAATTTTATTGGAAAATTGTATATGGTTAGGATTTTATAGCTATGTTATATTGATATTTGGACTATGATAATCGGATGGATTTTGCTAGGTGTATGCTTTAAAATTTGTATACGGTTAGGATCTTATAGCCTTAGAATAACTGATTTGGTCGTATTTCCTATTCATTGTCTAGTTGTGGTCCTAGGGTAGAGTCTGTTATTCGACAGTCTATTTGATCTTGTTATGTGTATAATTTGCATGCATAGGGCAACCTGTTATGATTGGTTTGAGTTTTGGTTGATATGATTGGGAAAATCTTAGGATAGCCTAGGATTTGAGTTATGTGCTAGTCTGTGATATATGTTTTGTTCTGGGACGAATTAGAGTTATCAGGTAGAGCCTTGAGGAAGGTACAGGTAGGTGTGGAAGGTAGTATTGGTCCTGTACTACTGAAAGCACAAGATATGTACCTGAACCAATGTTAGATCTGGAAGCTCTAAGGAGACCAGTGTAGAAGAATCCCCTTTTGAATATCTTGATCATTCTGTTGTATGGTATTTTTTTAGTTCAGAGTGGTGGTGACACATCATGGAGCAGGGGCATCAGAATCAGGATCTGGGTCGGGCTACAATACTGAGCCTATTGACGAGCGGTTACGCGAGTTTAGTGCAGTCAACGTTACGAGGGGCATCCTTGACGCTACCCCAGTGATTTTCGGGACTGTCAAGGAGGGGGTGATGGAGATCATGAAGGAGCGGCTCAGGTCTTTCCGAGCCGAGATTGTTGCGGCCCAGGTCGAGGCCCGAACTCCCTCGTTCTGAGAGTTCAAGGCGTGTGGGGCGCCTGAATTCTTTGGGTTCAGACATAGAGAACGCCCAGCGCAGAAGCTCTTGCCCCGATGCAGCAAAGGTAGGGTTTGCTTCGTATATGTTGAGGTACCTGACACACAATCCAAAACTATAAGCCCAAAGCTTAGTGAGTTCCCCCAAAATACCAATACTTAACAAATAGTACAAATATAATT